GTGAGGATTATTAATTCTAAACGATTATCGTTACTTTTTTTTTTTCTTCCCCCATCTGATTTTAATCAACCTATAAAAGAGGATAATTCATTATTATTTTAATATTGTACTTTCTGCATTAACGAACGATTATAATATAATAATCGTTTAAATTGGTTTAACTCAAGAAGGAGTGGTGTGTATTCTTGGTAACGATCATCATTCCATCATTAAACAATATTTCGCGTTTTAATCATTAATTTACTAAATTTTTAAATTATTCTTATCTCTATTAAACGTATTATTACATACGTAATGGGGGCAATTACTTTTTTCTAATTACACATACATTCTTTTTTCTTTTTTTTTTCTTTTCTTTTCTTTTCCCAAGATTAAAACTCGTACGGAAAAATAACTTTGTGTATCTTTCTCTTCAATGGTTGGGTTGGCAGAGGGGGTGGGTTGGGGGTTGTGGGTGGTAGGGAACAAGTAACAAGAATTTTTACCAGGGGAACTCGAATTCCCGGGTATAACCAACCATCATCGTCCCGTTTTTGACTATCTCTCTCTCTCTTCTCACAGACTTACGATAGGTTGAAAGAGAAAGAAAGAAAGAGAGAGAGAGAGAGAGAGAGAGAGTGATAGAGATAGAAGGAAAGGGACGAGTCTTGCTATGAATTACTTCCGCCGTTTGCCGTGTAAACAGAGAGGGTAGTTGGTTACATACCGAAAACCCAAGCTGGTGTGAATTCTCACTCTACATTTGTTTTCTCTCTCTCTCTCTCTCTCTCTCTCTCTCTCTCTCTCTCTCTCTCTCTCTCTCTTCTTTCCACCCTGTCTCTATCCATCCCTCTTTCTAACCAATGTTGCAGCTTCAGCCAATCTTTACTGTTGGCAAACGCCGTATAACTGAGGACCGAACTTTAAATTTCAGCCTCGTCTGTCGAGACATCCTCTTTAATCCTTTGATCGGTAGGTGTCAAGAGATTCACCCTTCCCTCCCCCTTCCCCTCCCCTCCCCTCTCCCTCTCACTCTCTCTCACGCATACACACACGTTCATTCTCTAACTCTGTTCAACTAAACCCACAAAGAGAAACCCAGAATCGTGATCGTAGTATCTTCTCTCCCTCTTCCCCTCACTACCACCCCCCACCACTACCACTTACACTTACACCATGAAGAATCCTGAACAAACGTGCGTTTTCTCTTCCATTCGATCGGATGATCTCGTTTCATCCAACACACTTCGTGGATTGAGAGAACCTAATTTTCTTTCCTCATTCTCTTTACTTTAGGTCCGAGTATATATTCTATGGTGGGTGGGGTGGGGTGAGGGTGAGGAAGAGGAGAGGAGGAAGAGGTGGATCTTTGACTTATTGTTAGTCGAGGAAAAACACGTAGCGCGAGAAAGGAATCGCATTATATTTGTCTGCTGTTCCTTCTTCTTTTACTACTTTTTATTACTTTGTCTTTTTTTTTTTTTTTTTCTTTCTTTCTTTCTTTCTTTTTGTCTCCCCTTCAAAACGAATCGTATTGGAAACGATTTTTTGATCTTCTCTCTTGTTTTTTTCTTTTTCTCTCATTGATCTTGATGTTAACGAGGAAAATTTTTACGATTAAATTCTAAGCTCTCTCTCTCTTTCTCTTTTTTCTCTATGTTTCAAATATTACCCCCAAAACTAAATTCGAATCTTTATCTTATAGTTTTCTTATCGATCCGTTCCTTTTTGTTTCTTTCTTTCTTTCTTCCTTTGTTTCTTTCCTTTTTCTTTTCTCTGTCGACTGACTTCGTCTTTTCTTAGTCGTCAGAAGCAGCTTACGATTATGACTCTGAGAAGTTAGAAGAAGAAGAAGAAGAAGAAGAAGAAGAAGAAGAAGAGAACGGTCGTTACCTTCTTCTATCTTTTCATAATTATCCTCTCCCTATTTTCCCTCTCATTCCTTTTCTTCTTCTCCCGCTTCAGCTCTCCCCCTCCCTCTCCTCTCTTCCCGACCAGTCCCCTCCTGCCTTTTATCTTCCCTTTTTGTCTTTCTCGGAATTGTTCTTTGAATGTGTGCACAACAGAGTTTTGTCGGAAAAGATTTTACCCCCTTCCCCACCCCCCACCCCCTAGCTTTAAATACGCATAGAAAATACGATTTCACGATACTTAGTTTGTTGTTGTGTTGCTGTTACGATCTTCGATTAAAAGCACCCGGTCTTCCCCCCGCCCCCTTTTTACCCCTCGTTCACCTTGCCCAACGATCCACACCCCTTTTCACATCCGCGACGTTTGTCTCGCAAGTAACTTTGCGTTTTCATCGAATAGAAAAAGTTCTTTGTTTTACGATCTTTTATTCAATTCGAATTATTATTTTCTAAGGACGCAGGGAGGAGGAGGAAAGTTCTATTTTTTTTTCTTGTAAAAGATCCCCTTTTCTTTATAATAAAGTTTTTAACTTGATATTTTATATTAGATCGATTCGTATTAATTTATATTGAATCAATTTCCAAAGAGTTTCGTGTGTTTTAATAATCTAATATTATTTTACGCGTCATAATTTATTAAAACAAATGAACAAAATCAGATTATTTAAACAAAATCCATTTCTTTCGTTCCCTTATTACAATATATATATATAAAACGATCTTATCGAATAAAATAACATTGAAAAATTAATTATCTTGAACAGCGATTTAACGATTGATTTATTGCCCATCCATAGTTTGCTAATTTTTCTTGGTGCTACGATAAAACAAATCCTTGTTTGTGAAAGAAAAAGTGTGTCAGAGAGACGGATAGACAGACAGACAGGCAGACAGAGAGAGTTAGTGACTTTGAAAATCCTATTCAGTGCTATTATTCTTTGTCCCGTTTTAATTCTCACGGAAATGTAGTAGCAACACCTCGTTTTCGTTCGTCCGACACGTAGCTTTATCCGTCGGTTTAGAGTTAATTAAAATCGAGTGCTGTCGGTGGTTAAACCACGTCGAGGGATAATGATCGGTCGTTTTAGTTGCTTTCGAGAGTTCGTGCTCGAATCTACGCGACGCGTAACTCCCCCCCCCTCCCCTCCCCCCAATCTCATCCCCAACCCTTCATCCCAACTTCACTTGCTTTTCCATCCCATTATTTTTCTTTCTCTCTTTTTCTTCTCGTATAATCATTTTTGTTTTTTTTTTTTTTTTTTTTACACTTTTTCCCATACGCAGGACACATATGTAATATTTGATTTTTCATTCTCGGTCCATGTTTTCTTCGATTGCAACGATTTTTGTTTGTTTGTTTATTTTTTGGTTAATCAGGGTAATATTATTTTGGAAGATAATATGATTTAAGTGTATTTTACTTTTTAGATAAAGATTATAATTGTAGGATCGTTATTAAATTAATTGATTGTGTGTGTGTTCTTTTTTTCTTTGTGTATTGTCTCGAGTAAAAAATTTAAGCGGGATAGTAATATTGTTGTGTTATCGTTTAAATTAATTCGATGCTTAAGTTATTAGGCTATTTTATTACTCGTAATTAATTTTCGATCAATGATACTCTAAACAAAAACATTGATATTTTATTTTAAATAAAAATTCAAACGATACAATTTTTAATAACGTTCGTACAAATTATCGTAAGAATTAATGTAATATTAATAAAATGAAAATGTAGTAGTATAAAGTGGTGCGTGGAAGAAAAATGTTTGATTAACGTCAACATCTCACAATCAGAGATTTATTTTACATATATATATATATAATTTTAATTAATTAAATACATTTATTACACACACACACACACACACATAGAAATGAGATACAAACTAAATAGATTTACTCTTAGAGAAACTTATGCGTAGAATAGTGGTTCACCGCGACGAGAGTTGAATTACGTTGAAGAACCTATGCCAGTAGTTTGTCCCTATACAACTACCACCACCATAACCACCACCACCACCACTAGCACATGATTCAACAATCGCATGACCCTTTGCATGTTCCTGTTGCTGCGTTCCTTCGGCCTCTTGAGACTAACACCATTACTAACAAACCAACCAACCACCATCACTATGACCATAACTATTCTCCTAGTAGGGATCTTACTTGTCGTAGCATAATCGTCCGTTGCTATTGGTATAGTCATTTAAATTTCTATCTCACTTGTGTTCACTCATACTCGTTATGTTGTTGGAAGATCTTCTCTCTGTGTCACCAAAATTTCCCGCATGCAACTTCTACCCTTAACTGATCTTAATTACCAACGGGAAATCTAGAACAGACAACTAGTAGTATAGTAGTAAGTAGTAGTAGTAGTAGTAGTAGTTTCCTTTCTACATTTACTTTCATGTCGTCATCGTCATTATCATCATCATCATCATCACATAGTCGTCTCTCATCGTATCGTTTATCTTTCTCGCCTAATTTCTTCTTGGATATGAATATTTGTATGTGGTGGATTTAAAAAAAAAAACCACCACCAATCACTACTTTACTAACTTTATTTCTTTTCAAATGGAAAGAAGAAGTAAAATAAAAAAAAAAATATAAAATAGATATTATTCCATTGAAATAATATTTCAATACGTAAACCTAATTATTATTATTATTATTATTATTATTATTATTATTATTATTCAATTGTTCAATTGTTTATACGTATTTTAAAACTAATGGAGAAAAATTATTTCTACGGAAATAAATGTATATACATTTTATATATAGAGTATACGAAAGAGGATATATATTTCAACCATGATCTTTGCGATTTCTATTCCCATATATAAAATGAACGAAAGGGTGGTTAAGAGTAGTGAGTGGTTGGATGGGGTGAAAGTAGGGGAAGGGGGTTAATACATATACATATTATACGTATATTCGAAGAGATATGTAAGAAGATTCACGCAATTCCCCCTTCCCCTCCCATCCTCCCTTCTTTCACGTTCTTCTGACATGGAAATGATGCGGTTGCAGTCAAGCACAACGTCATGTCCTTTTCTTTCCTAGGGAATTTTTTTTTCCCTTACATATATATATATATATCCACTTTTC